TGGAGGTGTGAGGGGATGACGTCAGCGCGGGCGCCACGCTGACGCGAGCGCACGGTAACAGTCAAATTTTTTTACCGTTGGCGCGTGTAATTCACGCGCTAACGGTAAAAAAAATTGACTGTTACCGTGCGCTGACGTCAGCGTGACGCCAGGCTGGTGGGACCCACCTCGAAACCGGGCTACGGGCCCTGCGCTGGAGTTGCCTCGGACTCCCTCTGGCAGCCTTTTCCCCTGGCTGGGCCTTGCGCTGGAGATGCTCTTAATGTTATATATGTACGTATACGTACTCATTGGATTGAAGGCAAAAAAAGAAAAATCATTGGAATATTTAGATTGCCCACATGAATAATAGTCTATAGCTAGCTAGGCTGCCCTATAATTAGCGTCCCATTCTCTTCCTTAATTGTTTCTCCATCCATATACATTGTTCTAAAACTCAGTGTCTATACTTAGAGCTAGGAATTAAACACACCGGCCCATCCTCATCGCCATGCCTACATTTACATGCACTACTGTTCACCCCAGAAGCGAGATGTGGGACCAGACACATTTAAGCAGTGTTCTGGCCCCTCCTCTTTGTTGGATCAGAGTCAACACGTAGGTTTGCTTGAGGCCCAAGTAACAGGCCCTAAAATATCCAAGTTGTTGTATGCAATAAGCGTGCCACTGTTGGAACTTGGCTCAGTCCAACAGAAAGAGATTGATTGATTTAAGAGTGTGGTTCAGTGTTTTGCGCATTTAATAATCAAGCCATAGTGATCTGAATGAGGAACTTCCTCATGTTAGTTCTTTTCTATGCCTTGTATACTTTATATGCTCGTTTACTTCAAGTCTTGAAGGACCACCTCTTTATCGGGCTAGATATATCTAGCCAATTTCTGGTCGGTTTCTAGTCCGATGAACAAGAAAGTAAATGCAGAAAGCTAAGTAAGTGCAGATAAACTTAAATTCGGATGAGATACAATATATTATAGGTCATCTTTCTAAGATTATCCCTACAAGTGTGCCAAAAAGCATAGTTTGTTAGGTAAAATTGAAACATAAATGCGGATTATCAAATGGCCAAACAATTTCCAACTTAACTAATATTGTACATTGATAATCCGTAAAAAAAGAACCTAAAAACTAAACGGTTCCGATCACGAGTTTATAGCCCATAAATAAAATGTCCTTATTTCAAGAGATCTTTGCATTCAAATTCCTACAATTATAACGTTCAACTTTTGAAAATAGTAGTAAACCAACAAGACCAAGAAATTTGATCAACGGTCTGGTTGACATGTCTAGCCTTTGCTGCCTTGTCTAGTCTAATACCAATCTTGGGCTGGAATTTGCTTTCTTAGCCCAACCTCTACGACCCTCGCAGATAGTCATTTTATAGTGAGGGTTTTATATATAACCTTTAGGTGAGGTTTTATCTTTTAACTGTTGTATTAGGCTAATTAATTTGATCTAACAGTTAAAAGATAATGTCTCACCTAAGAACAATATATAAAGCCCTCACTATAGAATTCTTGTCTCGCAGCTTAGCTTTAACCTCTATCTCTATGTCATCAGCTAAGCCCATGAAACGTAGCCCAAATACATGTAAGTAAAGGCAAACGCTGTTTCCCGGAGAAGCAGTTGACATTTGCTATATTGCGCGTGTCCAAAAAACTGCCACTCTCCTACCAAACCCTTCCCCCTTTCCTTCTTAAGTTACAACTTACAAGACATCAACTCTTACTTGTCAGACACCAACTTCTTCTCTTTGCCCACCCAATCCCTCCTTTTACCCAAAACCCCACAACCTCCCCCACCTCTTTGGCACTCATAAACCAGCATCTACCTTAGATATTTACCTATCACAAATCCACTCTCACATATAAATTCTCGTTCGTATACAATGTTACTTTCACAAGACTAATCGTGTAGTCCTGATCATGTGACTTTGTACATGTACACAAGAAGAAGTTTAACGTGAGAGAATTGTGTGCAAGACCAACACAGCTAATAAATATATTCATATACAAGAATCCAAAAGCTCGACTAAAACCAAACCCATGAAATTCGGGAACAAGCTGCACGCATAGCTTTATGTCTGTACGTCTCATCCTCTGTTCCTCCTATAAAACCCTTCCCATCCATCCATCCATCCATCAATCAATCAATCAAATCACACCAAACCTCCATTTTCAAGACCTCAAAAACCCACAACACCCAAAAGAAACCCAAGAATTCACTAATGGCACCATTTCTTGCTCCCAACCTCATCACCATCATCATGATCACGATCATCACAACCTCACCGCAACTCGTTCTGACTCACCCGAACCTCATCCCTCCCCACCTCTCCCAACTCGACACGTGGATCGTCCACAACATTAGGGACTACGCCAACCGCAAGGCCACCCAAGCCACTCTCCGCTTCGACTCTAAATTGCTCTCCGCCGAGTACGCCGTCAAAATAATAACCGTCAAGAAAGATGGCACCGGAGACTTCAAAACAGTCACTGACGCCGTCAACAGCATTCCGTCGTGGAACACGCGTCGCGTCGTGGTGTTCATCCGCGGGGGTGAGTACAGAGAGAAGATTCTGGTCGACGCATCGCGGCCGTTCGTGACCTTTTACGGGGATAAGAACGACGTGCCGTCGATCACGTTTGACGGCACGGCGTTGAAGTATGGGACGTGGGATAGTGCCACGGTGGCCGTCGACGCCGACTACTTCGTGGCCGTCAACATTGCGTTCGTGGTAATAATAATAAAACGTTATTATATGACTTCCCGTTTTGCTGAGATTAATTCTGATGTCGTTTTTCATCTCTGCATGTGCGTTTTAATTCACATTGCTTTTGCTCTCTGCAAGCTGTCACTTTGAGAGAGAGAAAGAGAAAGAGAGAGCAAAATGGCAAGCTTGCCGTTTTTGGGGAATAGTTTGAGGAGGTCATGAGGGAAATGGAGAGAGAGAGAGAGAGAGAGAGATTAGAGTGGTAGAAAATATGAAGACAATGGCTATAGCTAGCTATTATTTAAGATCACTTTCCCTAAAATGGATTTAGAGTGTTTGGAGCGTTTTGGTTTTGGTTTCGCTTTGAAAACACTGCAGATGCATAAGCAGTGCTAAACTTTCTTTAATCAAATTAATTGCACACTTAATATGATCAAGGAAATTATATATATATTTTGATATTAATTGTTGGTTGTTTGATTTGGTGAATAAAATTGGCCAGTACTGTGAAACAGCATGAAATGCTCATGTAGCCATGAAAAGATGGCAGCTTTTTGTAATGAGAAAGCCAAAAGCCATAATCATATAGGCAGTGTAAAGCATGTGACTATTAGCTTCAATATGAATAATTAGCTAGCTACCAGTTTAATTAATAGTAAATTTGGCTTACACCCTTCAAATTCAATTTGTCGTACCTAAAACCCTTCACTTTTTGTTCCTATAAATAATACCCAATTTGTATAAGTAAAAACCCATGACTAGGATCCAACTCAGCAAGTTACCTAATTAAGCATAAAATCTGATTTATTGTACTTTTCAGATTCCAAAAATACCCCCAACTAAGCCATTATTGCAGATTAAGTTAAAGATGGTAGGAACTTTCGTTTCAACTTCAAGTCATCAAAGGCTGAATTCTCTTTTTAGTAAATTTGGCTTACATCCTTCAAATTCAATTTGCCCTACCTACAACCCTTCACCTTTTGTTCCTATAAATAATACCCAATTTATATAAGTAAAAACCCATGACTAGGATCCAACTCAGCAAGTTACCTAATTAAGCATAAAATCTGATTTATTGTACTTTTCAGATTCCAAAAATACCCTCAACTAAGCCATTATTGCATTTTGTATATTAATGTAGGAATTAATATAGAAACAGTTTTTAATTGGATTGTATATAATGACAGATGTTGAATTTGAAAAGATCTCCAAATGGTTGTAATGAAAGTAGGAATTAATTTTGAAACATTTTTTAAAAAATTTAACAATAAATTCAAATTTAGACAATCGGTTTGTTTAATAAAATGTTTATGTTATTTTCTTTTTATGAATTATACATGACTAAGGGCTTGTCCAATATAGATCCCTACAATTTCTATTTCCTAGACATGTACCCATCACTTTATAATCTATGTGTAAAACCCAATTTCAAATTTAAATAACTAGTAGGATATAAGAGGTCGTAGTATTTCTATGTTTTTACATCATTGCCACTAAACTTCATATTTTATTTATAATTTATTTCAAGCATTTCATTAACTGCCATAATTGTAATTAATATACTCCCTATTAATAGCATATCAACCACCCCATTTCTTTTAGTTGTCATTCCCTCTCACATCTTGCCCCCTAAAATTACAAACAAACAAAAAAATCTGTAAATTACATATCCAATAATGTACCTATGATGAGCTTTGGAATTGTATTCATCCTATCTATTTATTTCACACATGATTTACACGCGGCATATGCATATGCATGCTTATTCTCTGTGTGTGTAGAATTCGGCTCCAATGCCGGACGGGAACAGGCCGGGGGCTCAGGCGGTGGCGATGAGAATATCAGGGGACAAGGCAGCGTTCCATAACTGCAGGTTCATAGGGTTTCAGGACACGTTGTGTGACGATAGGGGGAGGCATTTCTTTAAGGACTGCTACATCCAAGGCACCGTTGATTTTATCTTTGGCAATGGCAAATCCCTCTACTTGGTAATTCATTAATTATTTAACCCAATTAGAGTTTTCATAATTAAATCCAGATATAATCATACTTATTAATATTAAAATTGCAGAACAATAGGATACATTCAGTGGCAAATGGAATGGGGGTGATAACAGCACATGCAAGGGAAGATGCGGCAGACGACAGTGGGTTTGCGTTTGTGCATTGCAACATAACAGGTACAGGTGACACATTTCTTGGGAGGGCTTGGAGGGACAGAGCTAGGGTTGTGTTTGCTTACACGAACATGGGATCTCTCATCAACAGCCAAGGATGGTCTGACGCCATGCACTCTGAGCGCGACAAGTAAGCACCATCCTAATTCATAGCATAGGCTAATAATAATGTTCTTATACATAACTTATTTTGAATTATGGATAACATGTTCCAACAAGAATTATAATATGACGATGGTTTGCTTTTTAGGACTGTGTATTATGGAGAGTACAAGTGTATGGGACCGGGTTCGAGCTCAACGGGTCGGGTCAAGTATGCAAAGATGTTATCTGATGAAGAAGCAAAGCCCTTCCTCAGCATGACTTTTATCAGAGGAACAAAGTGGGTTCTCCCACCTCCCAAGCTCTGAACTTTACATATATAAATGTATCTTGTTGTATGTACTAGTGTATCATTTCATGCATTGGCATGTCAATGTAGTAAATAAAGCATACTTAGGTAGAAGGAAGAAGGTAACTAGCAGGTAGTCTTATATATAAATGTTGTATGTAGGTAGGTTTGTAAACCTTGTAAGAAAGCAGGTTCTGCATTGAAAATTGGGGTTTATATACATACCAATATTTCAGGTTATTTTTATTTTATAAATATCAGTTCATATATTTGACTAAAATGAAAATTTCAGAGAGTTGGGTGAACAGAGGAAACTTTTGGGTATTTTTTATTTTCTTTAATCTTTGAGCATCGATCTAAGCCGACATGTATAATATAATCGAGAATCCATAAAAGACTAAAATTCATTGAAGGAACGAGCCTTTTAATTTGAATGATTAGTTTTCTATGATATCTAATACATACATGATCCTACTACACCGGGAAAGCTTCTTTCTCTCTAGAAAGACTTTTATGAAATGGGAATAACACTATTTTGTTATCTTTAGCTAATAATGCTATGACACATGACAACACTTCCACGTGACATAGCATTATTGGCTGAAAATAACAAAATAGTGCTAACCCTGTTACAACTAGGTTTTTTCTCCTTTGTCTCCCCTTAATTGTGCTTGCACAGTTGTAAATGGATTCAAACAGTTTAATTATTAACCTTTGAATTTAATCTGATCCCAACAATATTATAATTATATACATGTGTATGTATCATTCCTAGAGGTGGATTGCTGGACTCTACACAAGTGGGTCATGTCCTACAAAATTTGAGTTCTTTTAGTAATGAACGAGGACCAAATCTATGAATTATGAATAACAATGGGGCATTAAAATAATGCCTGCAATTTGATTTAGTCCTTCACATGATAACTGCCATCAGATTATATACATAATATTGAACAAGACCTTAACAACTACCAATTAAAAACAATTATGAATTTTAATGATTGTGATCCTGGAACCATGTGCAGGCAGATTGAGACAGAGAGAACATTATAGTACATGGAGTGGAGGCCTTCACACATATACATGTGCCAAGATTGACAAAATGAGAAAGAATCAGATATGTCTGCATAATAATATTTAGGGCAACAGACACTTGAAGATCTCTCATTCTTAAAGACTGAAAGCAACTATGTATATACAGAAATTACGATAATAACATGTGGACATCCGGATGAGATATATATCGATCACTTGAAAATATTCTAGAATTTGTCTATCAAAGCCATATATTAATTAGTAAATTAAGTAATATTGGCATATATTTTAGTGGAGAGGACAAATTAATGTGTTTTTTATACTTGATCAAACATCAGATGCAGGTCACATTCAATCAGAGAAAATAATCACCACTCTATCACCAAATTGGAGGCACCACCACAGCATCAAAATATCTAACTAAACAACTTCTCCTATTGTTTGTTAATTAAAAACAAAAAGAGAAATAAAAAAAGATGTCTGCATACAAGGAGACCCTGCTCTTTACAACACAGAAAATCAGCCCTAAAACCTGGACCACTAAGAACATCATCACAATTACTAACTCTTCATTGAATGAGTTTCCAGTTTCCTGCTGCAAAAACCACCAATAAAACCAATTATCAAATGGAAAACGGATCAAGGGGCTATTTCAGAATTCAAATTCGACATACAAAAAGATGAAGTGATTTTCACCTGGGCTTTCATCAGGGTGAGCGTTCTGATGGTTCTCCATGCACTTCAAGAGGTACTTGAAGGTCTCAGTCTCACATGGGATGGTGAGCCCGCCACTATGATCAAACCCAAATTCCTCCTCAGCCTTCTCCAGCAATACTTTGAAAAGGGAGTGGCTGAGGTAGCTAGTGGGAATGATGAACCTCCGAAGCTCCGGTCCAACATAAACCGCCAAGTACCCTTCGGGAACATCTGCTGGCGGTTCGGGACTCTGGCCGTTATCCTCGTCCGAATCACAAATAATATTTGTTAGCCTCTTGCTAATTGCCGGTGAAATTCCCCCGCGATTTCGATCAGAACGGGGAGTGCCCTCCTCTATATGGGAAGCGCCTTCCCCTCGACGAGGAGTGCCCTCCCCTCTATCAGAGCGGGTGCCGGCTCGGGGGCTGTTTGCCCTCGAGCCGAGCGTGACAACTTGCCACTTCTGCAGGATTTCTTTGAACTTGACAATCTGCCTGATCCCGGTCAACTTGCTGCTACCATTACCATTGTCATTCATTGCTCGATGTTTACCACAATTGTTGAAAGAATCCCAACACAGAATATAGTGTCCGATTCCAGACAACAAGGTCTCATCAGATCTTGCACTGTGAAAGGATTAATTCAAATCATCGTCATTATAAGATAACATACCAAATCCACCAAGTTCCCAACTTCAACCAGTTCCTCATTGATTTCTAGGATTATAGCAACATGGGTAATTTTTTATGTTTCTGAAAGGGAAAATCTTTTTTTTCTTTCCTTCTGAAATTTGAATCAATACAATAGTACTTCATCTCAATTCTTCATTTTTGGGCTAACAAAGAGTCAGATTTGAATCACTTTATCAAATCATAAGTGTCTAACAAAATTAAAGCAAAAGGAGAGAGATACAAGGAATTTGTCTCTCTCTAGGAATGGAAATTTCAGTTCCATGTCAAATGCATCAATGCTGCCTATATACATATCATTAAGATCTGTCAACTGGAAAACCCAATTCCTCTATCAACACAACTTGCATGTATAATGGTTCAGAAAGAAAAAAACCCATCAACCCAAAACACCAAAACCATCAAACAGTAAGTAAAATGCACCAGATGAAAAGATACTGACAATTCAATTTCAATCCATGAACACAAATATGAACAAACATGTAAATACGTGTTATACAAATATTTATGTATGAATATGTAGAATTGTAAATACCCGAGGATGGGGAGGATATCAGCTGCAAACCCGAAGAAGAAACGCCATGGAGCTTCGGAAGGATATACACAGAGCGAGCTCTCCAAACAGAGAGATAAATTTTTTTCAAGGAAGTCTAAGTGTTTCTAATAATATTGGCAATAAATCCCATCCCAAAGAGAAAATGGAAAATGAAGTTGGGAGTTTTTTACTACTTCTGTGTTCCCATCAATTTTCGGAGGAAAATTTTCCTTTCTCACTCGCTCCACCTACGATTTCGGTGGACTCTGTTTTTTCTGTTTTCCTGGCAACCAAACAAACCTAACGGCCTCTTCTAATTCTATAAACCCAAAAACAAAAACAAAAAACAAAGATAAATACAAATATGGATGAATATATATATATATTTGTAATGTTGGTGAAGTGGAAAATGAAATGAATAGTTGTTGTTGTGTTGTTTGTGAGTGAGGAGGAAGGATGAGAGGAGATCATAAGAAAAGAAAGCAGAGCATCTTTATAGCCACGGCTTTTGACTTTGAACTTTGTTGATTGAATTTACAAAATTTTATTACGTGTCGTGTGAGTCATGGCATCGCCTTGCTTTTCTTGTTACTGAGTTTTGCGTCCACGTGCTTGGAATCTCCACTGCACAAGCGCCGCTTACTTGGGTCCCATGCCAAGTCATTACTGATCCTATTTGTTTTCTTATTTTATTTTTAGTAAAATGGGATGGAAATTAACAATACTACACAAATGTTGGCAAAAAACGATAATTTGTAGGGGAGGGGTGGGCACAATTCACATTGGATTGGTTTCAGTTCAAAATTATAGTCGAATCAATTACGATATAACAGTTTAATTTGATTATGTTTTGGCAAATATCACAAAGGAAACCAACCAATTTAAGATGGCTTGATTCAATTTGGTTCCTAATTTTTTTTTCTTTTGCATTTTCCTACTTTCTTAGTCGCAACAATTTTTTTTACCGTAAAATAATATAGTAACAGTTTAAAATTTAATGACTTTAACATTTCATCAAACTTCAAATTCAAAAGACTTATCTTGTTTTATTCAATGAAATAACTATACGTGCAAAATAAAAATAAATATATAAGTAGATGATTCGGTTCGATTTATGCCGATTTGCGAAAGGGAGGGGGTTAGCATGTTTTTTCTTTCTTTCTTTTGTTAAGCACCAAAGCATTTGGTGAGTGGGCTCTATTGACAAATAGAACCGACCATTAACATTCGAGGACTTGAAGCAACTGGTCACCCACACCTTACATTACATTACTAAAAGTCAAAAAAGTGTAAAAAGTGTATTAAAACAAACTCTAAAGAAAAGAAGACCAGCGAACGGTAGCGGAGAGAGAAGGGTGTTTGGTTGGTTGATGGGATTGGATAGTTGTGATACAACAAACAACAACAGGTATGCATGATTATTGCCAAAACCCCCTTTTATTTTCTTTATCAGACCAAAAACCCTTTCTACATGTGATTACCCACCCCACATTTTTTCCAATTCATTTGTGTAAACTTTACATTTGCTCATTAAATAAAAAATGTATGTCTTAAGGTTCAAAAGTTCGACCGACCCTCTTATATTTTTTGTTTTGTTTCATGTTCATGCATTGGTTGAGTGAGATTATTATGCTCTTTCATCTCAAGTACATGAATTATCTTCCAAGGATAGGCGCCATATTTGTTGATAAGGATGGAGAGGAAAAACATGTTAAGCTTCCAAGTTAGTAGAAGCTACGTGATGAAATATATTGAAAAATGATGGAGTATTTTGGACTTGTTGAAAATCTAAGGGCTCGTTTGAGACTACTTCTCTATGAAGCATTTCTGCTCATAAGCGCTTTTATTATAAAGATGTTGAAATTTTCATAAAAAAATCGAAGTGCTTCTTGGAAAAGCATTTGGTATTACTTCCTGAAGAAGCGCATGATAGGTGCTTCTCGAGAAAGCAAATCTATGACCTATAAGCACTTCTAGACTTTTCTGCCAGACACTGTTAGAAGATATTTTGGTTGTCAGAAAACACTTTTAACCTTTACAAAAGCACTCCCAGATGAGCCTAAGTGTTAAAGAAATTGTGGTTTTTAAACTTCTATTTGGGTTCACCTGGAAAAAAAAAAAAAAAAAAAAACCATGTGTTTGCGTTTTATGAGAATTTTAAAAAATTCAGATGCTGGACTTGGGACACTAATTAGCCTTTGTGGTTAGGGAAGTTTTTCTTGTGATTTGGGCCAGATTGAGATGAATGATTTTCATACCATATTCAACTCCAAATCTCAAGTTAGCCCAAAAAGCTCATCAGCCTCTTACTTATATGCTAACAATGTGTCTAATGGTACTATGGTAGCAATAGCATGTATGCATGGGATATCCTGATCTATAATTCTAGAACATGGCTTCACCTAATTAACTTCCCTTCAGTTTTCATTGCAGGGAAATACAATTTGATTGAAAATTAACTCCTACATACATATTGGTTTATATGTTCCTGGTTACAATTTAGCTTTATTATTATTATTATTTGCTTAGGTTTCAGGCAATTTAGAGACTGGAGACATGCAAATAAAATGACCCGAAATGAGAAAGGACACGATTCACACGAAGTGACTTGAGTTTGAAGGATTAAATGACTTGGTGGAATACTAGGCTACTAAACTCATAGATTTTGTGTCACTGTCATTTCACGAGGCTTGCTTGGGAACCTAGATTTTGCCGCAGCCTGTCTCAGCCATCCATTTATGTATGCATCACCATCAAAATGTTCACATTAAGACATACATGCCCTTTTAATTTCTTTCTAGTTGATTGATAGGGTCTACCTAATTTACCAAAATGTTTCTGAAGAAATATCTCTTTTCTCGTTGCTTATTAGTACAATATTTGCAGTACGCGAGAGAGAGAGAGAGAGAGAGAGAGAGAGAGAGAGAGAGAGAGAGAGAGAGAGAGAGAGAACAAGCTAGGCCATAATGGAAATTATACTTCTCGCATTACAGCAACAAGTTAATTAGAGTACAAACTGTCCGAATTTTTACAATTTGATGTCCTAACATTGACGAGAAAATTTTGTACTTGAAAGCTCTCGATGCATCTTTAATCAAAAAGTTTAAAGTCAATGAGTTGGTTGAGTTGCTTCTCTCATAAAAAAAATGTGGCATCTGTGTGCGGTGCCCGTGACCTATGGCTTTCAGATGAGATATATAGATAGCATGCAAAAGTTTTGGACGACATGAAATTATGACAAATCAAGCAACGGCTGAGGAGTGACATTCAAATTAAGTTCGACCTAAGCAATTTCATCATGTCATTCGTTACCTAACTTTATCTGAAAATGTTTCCCCAGAGAATCCCTTCTATTCAAGATTTGTGGCTCAATCTAAAATGTATTTAGACATAATGAATATCGGCTTAAGGTATGTTTAAGAATGCATCTAGAAATGATTCAGTACTTTTTGACAAGCGTTTAGTAAAAGAACTTAAAACTGTTTCTCAGTCATAAAAATATTTTCCAGAGAAGCACTCTCAAATATATGTTTATTTTTTTCTTAACGCACTTGGATCTTTAATAATTTGAACGTGACTCTAATAAAAACACTTCTAGCAAAAGCACGAATCAGTACTTCTAATAAAAACATTCCCAAAAGACAACTTAGAGAACAGTGTAGGTGAAGGCAATGGTCAACTTCCAGCGCAACAAACGAGAGCTTGTCTTGTCTTGTCTTTCTTAATTTGCAAGCTTACAGTACGAGCCCAGCTAGCATACTGTACGATCGAGTTTCTTCTGCTATTCATGGCTTGACGGTTAATCGCGATAACTCTAAAATAGATTTAATAACTTTTGTTCCTCGTTAGGCTAGCTAATGATGTCTTAAGATCTTAACTAATAATTAGTTTAGACGGCAACGGCGTTAGATGTAATGTAAATTTCAATTTGACCACGTCTTGACTTACATATATAATTAAACTTACATTAAGCAACATATATGGATTAAATTAGGTAAATACCAAATCTGTTTCACATGATTTTGGTGCGTTAATTAATTTCTTGAAGGGCACCACCAAATCACCAATCTCTATCTTGATGTGTAGTGTAAGTGGTATGAAGGAGGAACTGCCTCATGGGCGGCAGGAGTGGAAGACACGAACCCTTTAAATAACAAGACTTAGCAATAAGATAAGAGAATCATATCAAACCGAAAAAAAATGTACACGACGTTAAGTCAATATTATTATGTTTTCCCTCTTTTATGTCATTTGAAATCATTATTTAAGAGCACCAACATATATATTGTCAACGGAGTCTAGCCCAATGAAAAATGACATTGGTTCACAGATCAGAGGTATGATAAACCCTCATTCCCTATAGTTTAGACTATCGCTTTTCCTCATAATAAAAAAATACCAACATATGTATTTTACATTCGTGTTGTGTGCATGGTGTTCTGCCACATATGTGGTTTCTTCACACATATTTTATCCTCTTATTATATATAAGAAAATAAAGAATAGTATTAACAAAATTCATGTGGAACAATGTTTGGAACCTCACCGGAGCAGGAAATTAATTCGGTTCAAAGATTACTCAATAACAAAGTCAATGAATTAATGGTAAAGTATTTAGTTTGTTAGCTATATTCTATCTCCATATACATACTCTAATCTAAATTAATGGAACAAAACAGTTTTTGTTTGAACATGATCGAGGCATCACAACAACTATTAATCTAGTTAACATACAGGCTAGTGTGAAATTGATAGTTTTGAGTTTTGAAGAGCCACCTGAATTGAATGTGACGTGATTATGAAGTCACTTGTCCAAAATCTAAGGGAATGTTAACCTATTCAACTTGAAGCTATATGCTCTAATTAGATCCGACAGCAGACACCCACAATTTAACTTTCAACGTTCCAAAAGAGTCATTCTATATAGCTAAGAATTTTAGTTCATACAATCAAAGAGTGTATACAGTTCAAGCATCTTCCCAAATAGGGTATTTTTCTTAATCCAAGCAACAAGTTCAACGAGAGTACAAATTAATGCATTCCAGAAAAAAAGGGTCATAGGAACCAAATCGTAGAGCTGAAAATGAAACTCAACAATCTCGGCAAATGACAGAGTCACATGCAAGTCTGCGGTGGTCGTGACTCCCCAACCTACAAGTGTTTAGGGGAATGAAAAATCCTTCAACTCCGATCGACCTTTCATTTCTTACTTCAACATAACACCAAACCGGCTATAGATACAATTTATCAATTACAGATACTTGTAAGATATGTATTAATTAAGTTATTTAGGTACGTATTAACTAGTCAAAAGAAATGATTAGATATAGAATAAAAAGAGGCATGCATGCATGTATGTTTTGGTTGAATGTGTGGACGGAAGTCTGAGGCTGACGGTTCAACAACAAGTCTACAAATAAGAGGTTAAAGTGTGGCATTGGATAAAAACAATTCTCCGATTTCAGTGATTATTCAGTGAAAGCCAGAATCACCTTATATTCTGCGTGTATTAGCTGTTTCTTACTCACTCTTCCATCATTATTTTATTTAGAAAAAAAAAAAAAAACTATATGGCTATCTCCTTTGCAATTCTATTTTATTTACATTTCCATAACTATTAATTCCAACAAATAAAACTGTCTGAAAATAGACAACACCATATTCATCTTCGATATATAGTTAAATAACCCTTGTCATTCACTCATATTATAATACGTGTACAAGATGTACCACGAGGTTATACTACTGTAATATTTTATAATTTCTCGGGGTGTAAAAATACGACAACAAAAAGTTCATAGTAACTACTACAAGCATCTAATTATTGTTAAAATAATAACTTAAAGTTGAAATGTAAAAGTCAAGACTCAAGAGTGTGGTTGGTGGAAAACGATATATTTTTAGGGTTTTTGTCTTTTGGGAATTTTCCTTTTCGTCTTCAGAAATACACTTGCTTAGTGTTGTTGATGAACGTAAACTTTGTTTCTTCTTAAATCGTAGATGCCAAACTCCTCCTACACTATATATGATAAATCCCATCTCCTCTAAATCACACACTTGCTCTCAAACTAAAAACATAAGGGAGTACATATCATGAAAATTATGTACAGTACGTACTTTTCTTTTTTCTTCCAAAAAATCACCAAACTTTTATTTATATTTATTTACCTCATCGAATTACGAAGACAATAATAGTGATATATAAGTGGAGACAAATTGGTTTCGTTGATTGATTCATGACCAAAATCCCAACTACACAAAAGAGTTGAAATGGCGTGAGTGAGAGAGACGATTCGGTTGCGAACTTGCGAGGCGCATGTCTTGTTTTTGGCTCTACACACCCACCGCTCTTTAACCCCAAACACAAACAAAACGCAAACCTCAACGCTACTGATCATTTTAATTACATACCAAAATAAATGACGACTGCGACGGTGACGGCGTCGTTTAGTCCAAAGCGGTCGAGTAACGGCCACCGGTTTGAACAGCCGGAGGAAACGACGTCGTCCCTTGGCGGCGCAATGCTGCCTAAGTTTCTCAGCGACCTCAGCCAGGACTTGGTCGAAGTGACTTTAGAGCTCAACGACGACAACGACGAGATTGTCTTGTGCAGCGTCGCTCCGGCGGCCGACGACGTGTCGGCGGCAGACGGGATTCTGCCGCGGAGCATGTCGGCGACGTCGAGGAGAATTCGGCGGACGTTCGGGTGGCTGAGATCGGCGTCTTCGAGGACCACGGAGTCAAATTCCGAGCCGGTGGAGTTCGCTCTCTCTGCTCGCGAGGCTCGCCGGCTCAAAGCCAAGCTTCAACGGACGAGATCGAGCGCGCGGCGAGCTCTCGACGGGCTAAGATTCATCAGCAGGACGACTGTCGGCGCAAATGGAGCCGAGGAGCAGTGGAAGCAAGTGGAGGCGAGGTTCGAGTCGCTCGCCGACGACGGCTTGCTAGCTAGACCAGACTTCGGTGAATGTATAGGTAAGTTTCTCTTAACTAATTCAATGAGCTTAAATTTTCTGTTTGGTTCCCGAGAAAATTGAAAAGGAAAATTGACGTATTTTGAAGGGATGGTGGACTCGGAGGAGTTTGCGGTGGGGATATTTGACGCATTGGCGAGGAGGAGGGGACAGAACATCACCAAAATTACGAAAGAGGAGCTTCGCGAGTTTTGGTTGCAAATTTCAGACAGCAGCTTTGATGCGCGCCTTCAAATTTTCTTTGACATGTGGGTCTCTCTCTATCTCAGCCGTTGATTATGTTTCTTGTAATTGCGTTTCTAACAAATCGACGGTTCAGACGGTGGAGCTCATTTTTTTTTTTTAAATTTAATTACTGTGTGTAAATTAAATTAAATAGGTAAAAGCAAACACACAGAGATTTATGCACTCAACAAAAACAAATAAAGTGGATGGTTTAGGTCTAGTCTATTTTGGGGTGTTCGGGTTGGGTGGGTTTTGCCTTTTGCAGTTGCGCATTGTTTTTGTGTGTGTTTTTGTGTTTAGTTGACCAAAAGTGATGAATTTTGGCCCCATGGGTTACAAGCTATGTTGTGTCTTGTTTGTGTTCTATCTAATTCAAGGTACCTTTCCATAAACACCTCTGAAAAATTAGGTTAAATGCTTTTCAAATGCCTTTTGTCATTTGTGGTTGTGATTTTGCTGCTTTAAGAAAAGTTATTATTTTCCTATTAATATTTTCGAATTTGGAATATTTTCAGGGCCGATAGCAATGAAGATGGAAGAATCACAAGGGGAGGAGTGCAAGAGGTAAAAAAATAAAAATTGTTGACTGCGGGAAACTAATAAAATCCTATCTAATACTGCTTTTTTAACAAGTTGTTTATTCTTCACAAAGACAAATAAATGCTGCTTTCATTCAATTGTTACAGCTTATAATGCTCAGTGCTTCTGCAAACAAGCTATCTAAGCTCAAAGAACAAGCTGAAGAATATGCTTCGTTAATAATGGAAGAACTCGATCCTGAAAACCTCGGTTACATTGAGGTAGATTAAAACAAGTCATTAGTCTCAATTCTGGGTCTTGATGAGTCAATTAGTGTCTCTTAATGTACTTTTGCCCTATAATCAGTTATGGCAACTGGAAGCACTGCTTCTACAAAGAGACGTCTACATAAACTACAGCAGGCCACTGAGCACAGCAAGTGTGGCTTGGAGCCAGAACCTGAGCTCCTTTATGCCCAGGAACCTGTTTCGTAGACTGAGCCGTTCGCTTCAGTGTTTCATGCTGGAGAATTGGCAGAGGGGTTGGATTATACTGTTGTGGGTTATTGCCATGGCCTCTCTCTTTGCATGGAAATTCGACCAGTACAGAAAAAACAGGGCAGCATTTCAGGTCATGCGCTATTGCTTGCCTGTGGCCAAAGGGGCTGCAGAGACTCTCAAGCTCAACATGGCTCTCATCCTCCTACCGGTCTGTCGAAACACGCTGACGTGGCTCCGGTCCACCAGGGCTAGGTCCTTCATCCCATTTGATGACAACATTAACTTCCACAAGGTGATGTACATGTGACAAAGTGAAAATCAACACTGAAAAGGGTGCATTAACTTCCCATTTGTTTTTCATTCAAGTCACAAAAATATTTGACATTTTGTTTTCCTCATTGTGCTGCAGATTATTGCATTTGCTATAGCCGTTGGGATAATCGTTCATGCCGGGAACCATCTGACATGCGATTTTCCTCGCCTGGTAAACTCATCTCCAGAAAAATTTGCCCCACTTTCCTCTGATTTCCATGGCACAAAACCAACCTACAAATTCCTGCTCACTGGAGCTGAAGGCGTGACTGGAATTTTAATGGTGATTTTAATAGCCATCTCATTCACACTAGCAGCACGTCGGTTTCGAAGGAACATGGTGAGGCTTCCTGCGCCCTTCAACAAGTTGACTGGATTTAATGCGTTCTGGTATTCTCATCATCTGCTAGGTCTGGTCTACGTTTTGCTCCTCATCCATGGAAGCTGCTTGTATTTGGCCCACAAGTGGTACGAGAAAACGGTACGAAATTTGACAGTAAAAATTACAAAACAAGATTTACTTAAATGACTCAAAAATTATTGATGCCTTTCTACTTTGCAGACATGGATGTACATCTCTGTTCCATTGTTGCTCTATATAGCAGAACGCAGTGTGCGAACATGCAGATCACAGCATTATTCAGTTAAGATACTAAAGGTAAGCTAATTTTAGTGTTTTACTCAAATCTATTTGTTTATACTTTGAGTTGTTTGCAGTCGAAAGAATAACAAGAGATTATTGCTATCCGAGTGTCTTAAACAGGTTTCGGTCCTACCAGGAAATGTCATTAGCTTAATCATGTCCAAACCGCCTGGGTTTAAGTACAAAAGTGGACAATACATATTTCTACAATGCCCAACAATCTCCCCATTTGAATGGCGAGTGTGATTTCTACTAAATTCATCATACTGAACCATTTTCAGGAAAATGTTATCATGCACTAATTACTGAACCATTTGTTTATAAATTTCAGGCACCCATTTTCCATTACCTCAGCACCAGGAGATGATCACCTCAGTGTTCACATCCGAACAGTAGGCGACTGGACTCAAGAATTGAAGCGAGTCATTGCTGAGGGAGATGATTCAACATCTGTTGATCATCAAGCGAGACTTGTTCATATAGGAAATCTGGATCAGAGAGGGTATATAACCTAAGCAATTTTACCTTCTGAGATTTAGGTTCAGCGTATGTATGGGAACATTAACGTAGTAGATGAACATCAATGCAGCCAACCCAGATTGTTTGTAGACGGTCCATATGGGGCACCAGCACAGGAATACCGGAACTATGACGTCTTGCTCCTCGTCGGACTTGGGATTGGAGCTACCCCTTTTATAAGCATCCTTCGAGATCTACTTAACAGCACGAAAACAGCAGAAGAACAAATGGTACAATTCATACCCTTTCTAAGCACAATATTTCAGAAATTTTATCGATTTCTCGCTTCTGGGGTACTAAGGTATAATGCATTCATGACCTAGGATTCAAATACAGAAACTAGTAGATCAGAAGACAGCCAGAACAGTTTTACATCTTCAAGTTTGACACCCGGGGACAAGAAGAAATCACAGAGGACTACAAATGCTCACTTCTATTGGGTTACCAGAGAGCCTGGCTCTTTTGAGTGGTTTAAAGGAGTCATGGATGAGGTTGCAGAAATGGATCAGAAAGTAAACCTTGACTGTTAATCATTTTACATTATAATTATATTCGTCAGGGATGATCTGCTAAGTGACTCCGTTATGCTCTTCTTGTTTGTTGCAGGGTCAGATTGAACTGCACAACTACCTTACGAGTGTCTACGAAGAGGGTGACGCAAGGTCAACTCTAATCACAATGGTCCAAGCTCTCAACCATGCCAAACATGGTGTCGACATCCTATCTGGCACCCGAGTATGATCTTTCATCACCATTTTCAGTTGACAAAGCAATTATGTTCTTGAGCAATTAATGACCCTTTCTATATTGATGCGATGCAGGTAAGAACTCACTTCGCAAGACCAAATTGGAAAGAAGTGTTTACCAAGATAGCTTCCAAGCATCCATATTCTACAGTAGGTAAATATATTCTACCAAAACTAAATTGTCAAAAACATAACCGACACAAGTTTGCATGAGTTCATGTTTCTTGCTTTTACGAATTGAAATCATGCATCTGCTAAAATAATGAAACATGAAACACAGAAATCAGAATAACCAGTTAATTTGCAGGGGTATTCTACTGTGGGATGCCAATGTTGGCAAAGGAGCTGAAGGTGCTATCACACGAGCTCAGTCACAAGACATCCACACGTTTTGAGTTCCACAAGGAGTATTTTTAAAACTAGAGAACCATCATCAAAAGAACAAGCAGCCATTCTTTTCTACTCATTTTGATTATCGATAGAGGAAAATAATTATATCTGTATAATGATCGTAGCTCAGAAAGATGTAAATGCAATTGTTTGTCATATACGTAGAAATATCATCCAATATAATACAAAGTTCCAAAAAAAATGAAAACTTTTCTTTCAAGAGCAAATAACTATTGTTGCAGAATCATTTATCTATGGACGACGATACATTAAGCAGATTAATACAAAGAGATCCAGCTGCAATCATTCATCCTTGATTCTCTTGAGTAGTCTGGAAGCCCAGCTTCGGACACGTCGCTTCAGTGTGTAACCAACAACAATTCCAGCAACAAAGCAAAGTGTACAAAGCTTTGAGCACGTCCACAGTGATACTACTTGCCTGTAAGTAGACATGGGAATATTGTCAGTTCAGCGTAAGAAGAAGAAGAGGAAAACAAAGACAACATCCAACGAGCCTTCATAAATTTCTCAATTTTTTTTTTGTAATTTAGAACATTTACTGCATGTTGTTTGTCAAAACATTTTATATCCAAAAAGCATCAACCTCAACTCCTCTAAACACAATTGCCAAAAGCTTAGTTAGAAGGCTTCCATGCAATTCACAGCTTCAAAAACACCAAACCAATTTTCGGAAAATCCCATTTCTCCATTTCGAGAGCACATTTGTTGGTTGCAAATAAATCCCTTCATGGTTTCACAGAGACCATTACAAACGCAACCCTAATGAAATGAAACTGTAAAAGGAAGGAGAAGAGAGATTGGTATGCAGAGGTACCTGGCAGGTCTGTTGAATAGAATACGAGACTGATCAGAAGAAGACAAAGCGGCAGCGAGACCTTCACCGGCACGGTGACTGTCAAATGAAGACGAGGACGAAGACGAAGAGTTGCCCAATTTTGGTGGGTCTTTTGAGACTTTGCCAATCAACTTCTGCAAACCCTCCATAACTCAATGTTTTCAGAGACAACGCAGAGAACCCTAAAACTCGGAACACCTAATTCTGTTCACAATTCAGAAACCCCATTCATTATGCATTCCATTCTTGAAGATATGAGTTTTGAGGGGTTTAGGGTTTATTACCGATTTTGACTCGCCCGGTTCAACTTTGGAACACTGCCTCCTCAATGCCCGATTCAGATTTAGAGCACTGAATGAATTGAGCACGCTTTGTTCTCTTGAAGATGTCAAATTTGTTCACCTCCCCTCCAAATTTTGGCAGGAGGCTCAAGGCCCAAAACAAAACTGGCTTGGGCCCAGCCACTTGGGCTGGGCCCAGTTAAGTAGCCACATATGTATTTACTTTGTTAATTTAATTTTATTATTATACACGTATTAATTTCTTAGGAGCTTTGGTTTAAACTCAATAGCGAGTTTCCTATTGTGGTAAATAATAACTCAATCAGCCCTTCAGAATATCCTTATTATATGACTTACATTTAATTTTTCTTAATTTCTTTTTATAGCAGCAATAATATTGGGAGAAAGAGGAATCGATAAATATTTTTGAATATTCATATTCATACACTCTTGCAAAAGTTTTACCATGTTTTAAAAGGCTTTTTGGTTAGTTACCCTAGTAACTATTTTCTATTTCATCCATTTGTAGTCGTTTTTGTGCTTGTATTTGTTACTTTACTGTATTTAGCAAATTTGTACTCCTTGGCTGGCTGGTCGGCGTAGAACTAGTAATAGAAGGTTGGGGTCAGAAATCGTCCACGCTGAAAAGCCAATCCATCCCCATCCTCTCCCCAACACCCAACACCCAACACACTCGCAACACTCTCTCTCCCTCCCTTATCTTCCTCAAACAGAAGGAAGCAAATTAACAACAAAAACAAAGTTTCAAAGCACAAGTTAGGACACACTTGATATATCTCTCTGGTTCTAAACTTGCATCTAATGGCTTCCCTTTCTCTTCCTAAGCACCATTTCCCTTCTGTGCTCCCCACTCAAACTCCTAGACACAACCCATCTTCGAAAACCCTCCCAATTGTCTCAAGTTCATCACATTCTCAATTTTATGGCCTCAAGCTCTCCAATTCCTCCTCTTTGCCAATCCCATCTTCCTCTTCTTCTCGAAAGATGTTTATTTTTGCTGCTAAGGTACATTGCTTAATTCACATTTTCTGATATGTTGAGTGTTTTGTAGGCTATGGCTACTTCTTTGTTGATTGATTATGATTATATGTTTCTTGACAGGTGGACAAGGGTAAGGTTCCACCAGCCTTCACATTGAAAGATCAGGATGGAAAAACTGTGAGTCTCTCCAAGTTCAAAGGAAAGCCTGTGGTTCTCTATTTCTACCCTGCTGATGAGACCCCAGGGTGCACCAAACAGGTTTAAACATAATGACATTGTTGCATGTTCTAATTCTCCTTTTAGTTTATTGTTAGGGGCAGCCTGAAGTGTTCATTTCCTTACTGAGAAGCTTGGTTATCTTTTCAGTCAGCTTATCTTATATTGATTTTGTCCAACAATTTTTGCTGTAACCTTTAATTTGTTATGATATGCAATTCACATTGGAGCTGACAACACCACATAAAGACTGTATCTTTAGTTAGTGCAGACACTGACAAATTGATACTCCCTTAGGCTTGTGCTTTCAGAGATTCTTATGAGAAGTTTAAAAAGGCTGGAGCCCAGGTCGTCGGAATTAGTGGTGATGACCCATCATCACACAAGGTAATGTGAACAGTTTCTAGTATGGAACAGCTTTAACTAATTTGGTAAATTGGCTTGGTTGTTTGGAGGACATATGCTGCAGTAATTGCAGCAGAATTGGGTTTAGTAGATATTCTACTGGCTTGAGCAATGCTAGATGATAACTAAGGTTTGTTTGCTTCTAAATGAATTGTGAGTTCATTCAGTTAAGATTATTATATTTTTGAGAAAGTATGAGACTCATCATATCTACAGTACCTTTAGTTTATTTGAGTATGGTTTTAAATGCATAACCATTGCAACTCATGCTTGAAGTTGATTATGAAGTTTTTCATTTATGTAGGCTTTTGCAAAGAAATACAAACTTCCATACACATTACTTAGCGACGAGGGTAATAAGGTGAGGAAAGAATGGGGAGTGCCATCAGATCTGTTTGGGACATTGCCTGGAAGACAGACTTATGTTCTGGACAAGAATGGGGTGGTTCAACTCATCTACAACAACCAGTTCCAACCTGAGAAGCATATTGATGAAACTCTCAAATTCCTTCAAAGCCTTTAAAGTTCTCCTGTTTTTAGCTGCTTTGTTTTTTCATCCCTTTGTCCATTATATCTCCACAAAACAGGGTCAGCAAGTAGTTATTTTTGTATAATTCGAAAGCCAGTTATAATTACTAATGCTGCTGGTCATGTTTGTACTTGTCCCAAGTAAAAGGGCAGTTGTTTTCTGCCCTATGAAGGCAAATTTCAGGTCGAAATTTTTGTGGAATATCCAATGGCTATTAGACAGCATGACCTAGATGGCAATAATCTCGTTCTAAGTGATGTAATATCTTTGAGATTGTAAATGTTATTGTAAATGGTGGATCATGAGGGTATTTTGCTTATGTTAATTAGTTGACAACTCTGCAATCAGCTCATGTTTATGTTTCTTATCCCCTGCCTTGCTGCCCTTCTGCAATATTATCACATCATAAGTTTGGGGATTCAGAAGTAAACAATGGAAAAATTCTTTATTGAGATAAAATAGAACATGATACATTGATCATTTGTCCTGCAAGTAGGTGTTCTTTATTTTGAGTTCTGGTGTAAAGAACCTGTCAATTATGAATTCAGGATGTTATTGCAAAGTATAGGTTCATTGTTTCTTCAGATAGTCTTGACTGCCATAGGGGCTAAATGCTTCCGCCAACCAAGTATTCTTCCTCCAAGATGTCCACCCCATCTCCTCACAAATTTCATCACTGTGGTTGATGCTAAAAGTAACAAATTTAAACTCCCAAGTGTGAAGCAAATGCTTGAGCAAACAAGTAAAGAAGTGGAAGTCTCGAAGAAAACAACCAGGTTCACCAAGTGTTAGAAATGTTAAATTTGTTTGCTCAAGCATTTGCTGCACAGTTCCGAAGAGTGAAGGTTCGAAACACTCTCGAGATAACCCATGAAAGCCATGTTTGGGATCAAAGGATGAATTGTGCCCCTGCAGAAGAAACATTTAACAGTTTTAGAAAACCAGTACCTGATAAGTGTGTGATACCAGAAGGGTATTCCAACAAGCTGCTAAAGGCTCTGGTAAGATGGACTTAACTTTTTTTCTTACTACCATCATAACCAGTTGCAAAAACCACAACATCAGCTTTTATCTTAGTGTTGTCATCAAATTCAATTCCATCTTTACAAATCTGATGTTGTGGAATTCTATTCTATTCATGTGATTCAGAATCGTTGAAAACGTGTCCAGTCAAGTGTAGTCATAACCACCTTAATTGAGTTCACTTTGACATAGTTTAAGTGGTCCACCTGAACCATTTACTGCTACCTCAATAGTTAACAGAGTTGTTATTAGAAAGACTGACGGTAGGTATGAAACTGTAGTGAAATGAAACTTTGGGTACGAAAGTGAGACACTTCGTGTAGTAAAGTCTGAACATTGATCAACTTCAGGGTAATAAAGTGAAATTTACCCTCGTTTTTTTTTTTCTATTTTATCTTACTTTCATTACAATTCTCTTTTACCAAAATTTTCCAGGGCTCATCATCTCTGAAGATTAATAGGTTAGCATGCCCATAAAAATATACACAAGAAAGCTAACAATCCATACAGGAAAGCATATTTAAAATTTGACCTGAAAGTCAAACAAGTACATGAAAGGTGATGGGAATTATAAACCTACATTTTTACCTCGATTTGACTCTGCACACTCTAGAGCTAAATCAATGACCTTCTTATCCTTTAGCAAATCAGAAACAGTGTCCTTGTTCAATCGTCTCAAAACTTGGTATCATTGGTGCCCGTGGAAACATGCTGTGATGGGCTAGCCACTTGGCTGCTGCTAAGCCACGCACACCGGCACCAATGTACCAAGTTTTGAGACAATTAGAGCCATAGTTGCTTGTTCTTGGTGTGTTTCAAAGCTTTTTTGGTTTGAAAGGTGAGATGGTTTTGAAAAGGTGGTGTATATTTTGACGTATACTTGATTTGCTTGGTGTCTGAAAGAAGCTGAGGGAAAAGCTATTTATAGTGGTTGCATGAGTGGGTCTGGTCATATATGATGTAACATGTGAATGTGAAATTGATTTTGAGATCAAAGGATTTGCTAGGGTAAAAGATAGTGACCAATATTTCTCTCTCTCTATCTCAGCCGTTGATTAAGTTTCTGTAATTGCGTTTTTAATAAGTCGACAGTTCATACGGCGAAGCTCATTTTGCAAATATAATTTTTTTTATAATGATTGTGGGTAAATTAAATTAAATAGGTAAAAGTATACACACAAATATTTATATGCACTCAACAAATCGCGTGGATGGTTTGCTTTAGTCTATTTTGGGGTGTTTGGGTTGGGTGGGTTTTTTCCTTCTGTTTTTGTGTTTAGTTGACCAAAACAGATAAGCTTTTCCAAATGTTGTGTCTTGGTTGTGTTCTATCAAATTCAACCTTCCATAAACACCTCTAAAAAAATTAGGTTAAGTGCTTCTGCCAACCAAGCTATGTTGTGTCTTGCTTGTGTTCCATCATCAACACCTACAAATTAGGTTTGATGCTGTTCAGCAGTCTAGCATTTGCCTGGCAAAATAACTTGCTAACATTGTTTTTTTAGCAAGTTATTTATTCTTCACAGAGACTAATAAATGTTGCTTTCATTCAATTGTTACAGCTTATAATGCTCGGTGCTTCTGCAAACAAGCTATCTAAGCTCAATCAAAGAACGAGCTGAATAATATGCTTCATTACTAATGGAAGAGCTAGATCCTGAAAATCTTGGCTATACTATTTATAAAAAATAAAATAAAAAGACCCCAGTAAAAAAATCCCTCGTATAGCCGGGCGGCTAAACCGAGTATAGCCGGACGGCTATAAAACCGAATATAGCCGTTCGGCTATACTATCGTGCAACTATTTCGTCACATATAACAATAGTATAGCCGCGCGGCTATACTATTTTTAATAGCCCGTGGTATAGCGCTCGGCGATACTCTTATTTTTTATAATAAACCCCGAGTATAGCCGACCGGCTATACTACTTACCCACCTGAAGCCTTGCGCCATTTCCTCACGTGTCCGGCTATACTATTTTTCAAATAAAACCGTAGTATAGCCGCTCGGCTATCGTATTTACAAAAGGAGGACCCACCTGGAACCTTGCGCCCATTTCGCCGCGTGTAAAAATAGTATAGCCGCTCTTTGCTATACTAATTTTTTATAATAAACCCCGTAGGATAGCCGCACGGCTATATGGTTTTTTTTTTTAAAAAAAAAACACGAGTATAGCCGTAGTGTTTATTAAAAAAAGAGTCCACGCCTTGCGCCTAGAGCCTGCATTTTTTTTTATATATATAAGAGTTCCTATGCTGTGTTCTCCAACAAACTTTTTTCTAGTGTGGAAAAGCTTGAAGTACATTGGTAAATTTGCTTGGTTTGTTGGTGGACATCATCAGAGTAAGCCTTGGGTGAGTTGATTGAGCTATAAATGGAAGTCCTCTTATATATTACAAAGAGCTTTCGTTTATTTGAGAATGGCTTCTAATACATAACTATTGCAAATCGTGCTTGAAGTTGATTATGAAGTTGTTAATTTGTGTAGGCCTTTGCAAAGAAATACAAACTTCCGTCCACATTACTAAGCGGCGAGGGTAATAAGGTGAGGAAATGGGGAGTGCCATCAGATCTGTTTGGGACATTGCCCGGAAGACAGATTCAACTCATCTACAACAACCAGTTCCAACCTGAGAAGCATATTGATGAAACTCTCAAACTCCTTCAAAGCCTTTAAAGCTCTCCTTTTTTCTTTTTCTTTTTTCATCCCTGTGTCCATTATCTCCACCAGATGTGGTTCGCAAGTGGTTATTTTTGGATATTTCAAAGCCAGTTGAGATGGTTAATGTTATTGTAAACCTTTGAGATGGTTAATGTTCTCTTATCCCCTGCCTTTTTGCCCTTCTGCAAGATCACCACATTCACATCATACTTTTGGGAATTTCAAAAGTAAACAATTTAAAATTCTTTATTCAGATAAATAGATTATGATTTGCTGATACATGATACATTGATCATTTTTCCTGCAAGTAGGTGTTCTTTATTTTGAGTTCTGGTGTGAAGGAGCTGTCAATTATATATTTAGGATGTTATTGCAAATTATAGGTTCATTGTTTCTTCAGATAGTCTTGACTGCCATAGGGGCTAAATGCTTCTGCCAACCAAGTATTCTTCCTCCAAGATGTCCACCCCATCTCCTCACAAATTTCATCACTGTGGTTGATGCTAAAAGTAGAAATGCAATGCCTCTTGTAGAACCTGGTTGTTTTCTTCGAGATTTCCAATTCTTTCCTTGTTTGCTCAAGCATTTCCTCCACACTTGGGAGCTTGAATTTGTTATCCAGCAGCCTAGCCAGCCATATGCTGCGCAGTTCTGAAGTGTGAAGGTTCGAAACACTCTCGAGATAACCCACGAAAGCCATGTTTGGGATCAAAGGATGGATTGTGCCCCTGCAAAAGAAACATTCAAACAGTTTTTACTCTCCAATTTTAACATTTCTAACACTTGGTAATTTATGGAAATCTTAGAAAACAAGTACCTGTATAAGGGTATGATACCAGAAGGGTATTCTAGCAAGCTGCGAAAAGGCTCTGGTAAGATGGACTTAACTTTTTTCTTACCATCATAACCAGTTGCAAAAACCACAACATCAGCTTTGATCTTAGTGTTGTCATCAAATTCTATTCCATCTTTACAAAACCACCATTTTGATTCTGATCTTTTGAACAGAATCTTGCCTTTATCAGCCTCAGAGAAGAAATTCTCAGGCATGATGGCCATCTGGCAGGATGCATAGTCTTCCTCAAATGGATGGTCTGGTTTCAGTCCATACTTCTCCAAAGGCAGCTTCCACAGTATGTATGATTCAATGAACTTGGACACTGCATGCCTCTGTGAACAAACATAACACAACAACCAAATCTCAGTGCTCTATTATTAGCTACAGAACAAGATAGTACTAAAACATTTTTATTTTCTTTTATCAATTAATTAATTAATTAATGTTGTTGATTTACCATTGGAGACATAACTAGGGAGCAAAGGAGGGCCCTGAGGAAGCTTTGGTTAGGTCTTTGATGGAGAAACTGTGAAGATCGTGTTGAATAGAACAAGAAAAAGGGCAAACCCCAAACCCAATAGTGGGGAACAGTCCAGTGTAAAGTCCTTACAACCATGGTGCATGGCTTCCCTTCTGGTCCTGAAAGAAAAAATCCATGAAAAATCAAACCACCAAAATAACTCAGGTCAACAAGACTTTTTTTATTTATTTTTAAAAAGCGATATTGGGAGAGGGGGAATCGAATCTAAGACCTAGGATGTAGGTTTAAATACTTTTAACCAATTGAGTTACTAACCTGTCACATAACTTTTAGACTTGGACTAACACATTTTTCTTAGAGGAGACTTTCAGCAACAAAAGAAGACAACAAGGTGGCATGCTACATCAGTGTGTGCGTTATGCAGATGGGTCAAGGTAAGGAAATAGTAGTGTAAAAGCTTAAAGAAAAGTTGAAATTTGTATCATCTACATATTTATGGTAGTTATGATGTTAGCAATTGAACAGTACATATATTTATTTCAAGTCAAATCTGATGTTGTGGAATTCTATTCTATTCATATGATTCAGAATCGTTGAAAACACGTGTCTAGTCAAAGTGTAGTCAAAACCAAATTTAATTGAGTTCTCTTTGACACTTTGACCACGCAACGCAATGTTTCAATCTTTAATTACTGAATTCTTGGCTAGCTGAGCTGTGTTGTGTTGTGTATGAGACTGTGACTTGTGTCTGGAACTAACCATAACCATGCAAATTCCAACCCTTAACGTGGAAAATGCGACCAAATTGTGGTTGTGGACATTTATTTTTGTTTTATTTTCATTGGGAATCTTTTTTTACCAAATTTTTCCAGTGATCATCATCACTGAAGATGAATTGGCTAGAATATATCATCATCACTGCACTCGAAAATCAAACAAGTAAATGAAAGGTGATGGAAATTATATAAACCCTATATATTTACCTTGATTTGCCTCTGCACACTCGAGGGCTAAATCAATAGCTGATTTTTTGTAGCCAACTACGACCACCTTCTTATCCTTTAGCAAATCAGAAGCAGCGTCCTTGTCCAATTTGCAGTAATCAAGAGCATGCAGAGTCTGGCCTTGAAATACTTCAGGGCCTTTGTTCTGTGGAAACTCTGGAAGTTTGGGTGTATCACCATACTTCCCAATGCAAACCACAATGAACTCGAAGGCGTACCACTGTATTATTCAAAACAAACACACCAAAATCAGAACACGAAAAAAACATAAAATTATGATTAATACTGTATGCAATTTCATAAGTGGGATTTTGAAAAAGAAAAGAAACTATTTGTTGGGAGTATAGGACATGTCAGCAATATGAATATGTAACATCGGAAATGTTTTCTCTTGTTAGGTAATATGACAACACTATATATTTATATTGTCAAATTGTGAATATGGATCGTTGATTAGGTTCAGGTTAACTCTTGTCTCAACCTGGATCTAAACAAAGCAATATTAGTTAGGTTGTGTAACATATTGATTGTGAGTTTCATGTTACAACCACTAGTGGAGAAACTACAAATCCACATATGACATGTTGAAAACCCTACACATGCAAGTGACTCATAATATACCAAAATTTGGGTATGAAATAGCTAACAACCTGAATGGCCTCTGAATCATTGGACTGCACAGAAACCTCCCAAACAGGCTGACCGCCGCGTGGCGAGAGGCCCTCATACTCCACAGGGTTGACAGAAAAATCAACGGCTTCCCGGTCACCAACAAACCGAACCTCGACCACCTTGGAATTGAACCTCACGAACTTAAGCACATCAAAGCGCTGAGCGTAAGAGTTCAAGTAGTCCAATATCTCAAGATGGGAAGGAAAGTCTGCGTTGTCCCTGTCAGGCCAAGGGAAGTCAGAGAACTCATAGTCACGTCTATGAGATTGAAGCTTTGTGGAACTGTAAGAACAATGCCTCCAGACACCTCCAATGGAATCAGAGGCTTCAAGAACAATAGGGTTGTGATGGGCTAGCTGCTTGGCTGCTGCTAAGCCACTCACACCGGCACCAATGATACCAAGTTTTGAGACAATTGGAGCCATTGTTGGTGGTTTTGGTGTGTTTCAAAGCTTTTTTGGTTTGAAAGATGAGATGGTTTTGAAGGTGGTGTATATTTTGATATATACTCGATTTGCTTGGTGTACAAAACAAGCTGAGGGCAAAAGCCATTTATAGGGGTTGCATGAGTGGGTCTGGTCTTATGTATGATGTAAGCATGAATGTGAAATTGATTTTGAGATCAAAGGCTTTGTTAGGGTAAAAGATTGTGACCAATATTTCTCCAGTAATCGTATGTGAAATTGGCCCGTCAAGGAGAGGAACCTTCGTGGTTTATTTACCTTTATAATATTATTATCATAATTATTTCGTGCAAATTGAAATTAATAACAACAATGCAGTGGTGAGTACGTATGAACTGTTGCCATACCTAATTTTCTAAGAAAAGTATAAGCATTAGTATTTCTATACATACATATACATATATGAAATCATGATGCCCATGCACCTCAGATCTACCAAATCTACCAAACAATTTAATGCACCTTTAGATATTGTAGTTGTCCCTCACTTAAAGTATTAATTACACATGCATGCATTTATCTGTACCACATATAAAATACAACACACACATACGGTATTGTGTGTGTGTGGATATGCATTTCATATATACATACATCGTATATACGTGCATGTATATATACACATACACATACACATACACATACACATACACATACACATAAAATAAATAAATAGATAAGCATTTTACTTTAGGTATTTTGAATAGAAGAAGATTAATAACTTGTTGGATTATGGAGAAAATGTAAAAGGTGGTTTTGGCCTTACTTTAATGTAGAAAGTTCATGCAAATGTAGAAGGAAACAACGAAGAACTGAAGAAGAAACTTAAAGGAAATGAGGCACTTGCAGACTGAATCTACTTTTAGGAGGAGAAAGGAATGTGAAAATCAAGACTACACACACACACACACACACGTCTCTTCTTGAAAATCAAAGTCCTTTTACCCACAACTAAGACTATATGCATGCAGTGATTCAATTCAAGCTTTTATATATATATATAGCTTCTTCAATGGTATTCAGTCAGTGTTTTGTTGATTCTTCCATGGTTTCATTTCATTCGTTTTAAATATTTTTGTTTTGGGTTGATTTTTTCAATATTCATGAGTGTTAGAGAAAACAAACAATTAATTATAAATAAATAAAATTAATTTGTTTACCCTTCTTTATCACGCAAAGTGAAGCCAGAAGCAAACTGGAAATTAATATGTAGCGATATCCAAATATATATATTAATAAGAAGTGTATAGGAGGATTGTATCAAAACAATTAGTCAAATACACACGTGGAGTATTGGTTGACAATTTCGATTCAAACAAATTAATGAAATTACATTAGCAATTTCAAATCTGTCTATGACCCGACAATACCTACCCACCTAGCTGTGTTGGTGCTTAAAGTTCTATAATTCAGTAGAAAATTTATCATCTAAAGAAAACCCTGGGCAAATTCAAAAGTCTTAAGCACCAAATATCTTAGTAGTTTTTCTTTTTCTTTTCATACAAGCGATATGAGAATGGGAGAATCGAACTTAGAATCTCGAATACATGAGCAAATACTCTTAACTACTTGAGTTAAAAGTTTCTTACCAACTATCTAGTATATTTTAACTAAATTGTTTTTGTTTTTCATTAGTTAATGCAATACAGGACTCCTGTTCTCAACAACAAAAGTCCGTTTATGATTCACATGTATGATTATATGAAAACTCTTAAAATAATCTGAACTGACCCATACATTAATTTATCATCATCCATCAATGGTCAAGATGAACTGTTTGAGAATATATAAAATATATGTTTTCATATTGATATATAAAATGTATGTATCAGAGTCACAAGCTAGCAAAAGGGAAGAGAGGGGGTTGCCTCGGAAAAGAAAGTAGATTGACGACATGAGCACATACAATTCAGTAACGAAAACTGAAATTGAAAATAACGCGAAGTAAATTGTAACTTAGTAAGTAAGAGTCAAATAGTCGTGCAATTGGCAGATGGATGGAGCTGGAAGTCAGTCAGACTGACGATGGCTTTCCACACTAAATAGATACACATGGATTTTAGGAAGCCAGTACTCACATTCTCAGCCGACCCGACTTTTCAAATGCATTTATATTTAGATCCGTCCATCTTTCAATTTCAAAGGCACTAATTATCCGTATATTTCCACATGGACTGCGGTGGCTTTTGGCTGACACAAACTTTGGCCACATCCCCTCCTCTCCATCCCAGCTGCCCTAGACACATGTAGAGTGTGGACCGGATTATATTACCATATGCTTTTTTCTGGCCTATTGCTTTCTCCTCTTCTTTTTCTATACTTGGTAATCTCACATTCTACATCCGTCTCTCTCCATATATTTTCCCCGCAAAATATATGATATGGATAACATTATAAACCACATTTTCAGTTTCAACTTACATTGTTCGATTTAAATGTATTCAATATTACAAGTAAATTTTTTAACACATATTATGTTTTAACTAAACTGTACATGTCACTCGCCCTTGCCCTGCCCAAGAACAACAAAGCTACGTTAACTGCCCTAGACTATGGCGCAGTGCAACCTCTGTACAAAATACTCAGCACAATAGTTTAGGATATTGAAATTCTAGCCCACCCATCTAGCTCTCAAATTTCTAATGTCTTTATTTTTACAGCTAGCTAGTTGCACAAAAGCCATATATTGCTACCTCTAGTCATTGTTAATTGCATCTTTGAAGTCCAAAAAAATTCCAATGTATAGCTATTCCTACAGCTTATTTTATTTTTTCACTTAACAAAATAGTAGCCCATCTCTTTGAAAATTTCTGAATCCGCCCTTGACCCTTCCACATGACATGACAGGGAAGTTCTCACCCAAATTTGTCCATAGAAATTTTGCTAATATAAAAAGTGATAGAAGATGATTTTTTTTTTTTAATACAAGTGATAGTCTAAACTATAAAAGAGAGAGGGTTTCTCACACACACACGACCAATATGTCATGGAAATTCTAACCTAGGACTATTAATTTGCAAATTAAGACCATTTTTCACTGAAATAGACCATGTTAGCAATAGAAGATGGATTGAATACGTATGTTTTATCTCTACTTTAATTATATACGATGTGCTCTATGCATGGACAAAATAAATATTGGCTTTTGCACCTTTCAACTGAGAAGGACATCAAGTGATCAGATTCACATAACTGTGGGAGCAAGTCTGCTGCATGCACTCTAATATCATCCCTCACCAACACTGCACTGAATAGCGCTTTGACCTTTTTCACGACTGTGAATGCATCCCATTCTAGAAATTGACAAGTCTTGTTGGTTTCAGAGAGGAAGCAGACATGAAAATTCTTCAGCTTTGCAAAGTTAGGGTTAGCAATATTGCAGCCTTGTAGTAGAAGATAATTGTTCGAAATCAATAGCTGACTTTTTGGAAATGGAAGTCAAACAAAGCCATCAAACGTTGGTTAGGTCTAGAAACAAACAGCAAGCTTCTTGTTGGCTGACTTATAATTATCAACATTCTAATTAAACTTCAAAAATACTATCTTTGTAGTCTCAAAAAAGGCCTCGAAATTTTCTTCCTTTGAATCTCGTGCAATCTAGAATAGTTGGAACAGAAAAGCCTTTTTTCCATTTGTATTGGAGATGGAGTTGCATTCTTATGACTTTCGCATTCTTTTCTTTTCTTTTTCCTTTTTAGACACACATTTTTATACGTAAAGGTCTATCTATTCTATTTCATGAAGAATCTTTTGGGGTTATGGAAATTTGAACGATTGTGAAGTTTGTCCAAGTCTAATTCCTTATTTAGTTTTCTTTAAAATGTAATAAATTTAATACTTGGACAATCTATGTAAAATGATGATCAGTTTGTTTTACATCATCTCTTTAACAGAGGTGGAGCGCACCAATACATATACAAGGTGGTATATAGCATTTTTGTTAAATTAAATACTTATCATAAGTTTATGAAACTTTTAATTGTGTGAGAAATTGAATTTTCAGGCCGCAGCCCTGCTTTTTCTATTTGTCGTGGGCTCTCACTTAAAACCATATGTGGTTTTCAGGCTGAAAATTTGTCACCCCATGTATCCAAAAAACATAGCAGGCTTCTATGGTTGGACCCAAATTCTAAACTGGTTTGATCTCTAACTTAGGGCTTGTTTGATAAACCTTAATTTTTTAAAATGACTTGAAAGTGTTTTCATTTGTTTTTTTCTTTGTTTTTTTTGCGCTCTCTCTTTGTTCACTGATTTAACATCACCACAAATAAAATGCACTTCAGTTATCAAAATTCGGTATTTAGGACCTTTCGACTTGGACCTGGCTACGCATGGGCATATTATAATATTGTAAAAGAAATACAAACATGGAAACCTGGGCACCATCAATCTACCCCCTACAACTTGAATCACGTGTAAGGCAACTTCATCCGTACACTCATAATGAGCATTTCATAAAGTTAACTACCAGCTATCATCCATGACTTGCAAGTCTTCTTCTTTTACCTAACTCCTTCAAAAGCCTTGGGCCATTTATTAATTTATTATTATTTCCCAACCAAGTCTCTTTCTTTTTCTTTTCTTTTTCGCCTTCTATTATCTAAAGGTAGTGAAATTTGTAGGTAAGAAATTCACATACACAAGCATTACTTACGTGTACCCACGTGTAGGCTATAGCTTGACTAGCATCAACCCTCTCTCACGTTTCACGTTTCACGTTTCTTGCAATTTTTCTCCAATTTTTTCTTTTTAATCTTACGTTAATATTCTATATAGTAATGTGAAAGCTCCTAACGAGGCGTAAAATGTAGAAAAATGCTAGGCATATCACATTATTATACTATATTATAAGTTTTATTTTTAATACGTTAAGACTAAGTAGACCACCGAATGCAAAATGCAATACTTTTTTATTATTGACAATGGCACTTTGGCTTTTTGGAGACTTCATCCTTCAAAGA